TTTTTTAATTCTTCTATTTGTATATCAAGATACTACTTTTTTATCTTAATGAATCTAATTCTTTTTGTGGTATGTTAAACAATTTATATATTGGTTTTATAGGTTCTTTAGAACTACTAGGTATATCTTTTAAAGACTTATTTTCTATTCTAGTTAATTGTTTTGTCATAACTTCTAATAAAGTATTAGAGTAATTTAATTGAGAATGTAATTTTTTTATATCTTTTATTTGTATTGGTTTTTCTTCACTTTTGACATCTTTATAAGGACTTGCCTCAATTTCTAAATCTTTTGTGGGTTTTATTATAATTCTCTGTTGTGGAGGATACTCTGATGTTATTAATTCATTATTAATAGTTTTCCAAGTATTTGATACTTTTTCTAAAGGATATATATATTTTTCTTGACTATAATTAAAAAACCAATTGAAGAAATATAAATTTATTTCATGTTGTTCTAAATAATCATAGAAAATTTTCCTATACTTTTTTGTTTGTTGTTTTGTGAATGTTTTAAAATATCAGTCTCTATTTTGTTTATTATATTCTGTCTCAAATTCTTGTCTAATACATTCTTTATCTATACAAAAGGACGTCTCTCTATTTACAGTATTTAATATTTGTGAAGCAGTTCAAGAGTATTAAGGAGATTTTGTTCCTTTTGACTCTTCATATACGGACTTTGTAACTCTAGGTGTAATATTGTTTAATCCCCTTAAATCTAAGTTTATTATTGATCCATCAACTGAATGTCTTGAAGATTGTCCTTTATATATCATTTGAGGTTCTCTATTTTTAAAAGATAATGATCTATTCATTCTTAATCTAATTTCCCTAATTTGAGTATTATACACTTTTGGCTCTTCTATAATATCTTCTAACTTCCATTCTTTTGGAATTTTACTTATTACTTCTTCATGACTTAGTCTTTTTGGAATTTGAACTGATGATTTTCTGATATTAGTTTCTACTAATATGGTTTCATCTTTTGGAGAAGATCTTAAAGCTTTATAATTATAATCTATTATGGTTACTTTATAATAAACTCTATAAATTATTTGTATTGGACCATATTCTTCATCTACGATTTCCTCAGAGATTTGTACATATAATTTTATAGCATTACTAGTCTTATCATTTTTAATATTCATTGAAAAATTTGGATAACAATTAAAAAAGGCAGGGTCATCATGTAAGTTACTTTCTAAAATAACAATTATGGAGTCATTAAATTTTTTAAGTCTTATGTCTCTTAATAACATTAATATTGGACTATTTACTCCTATCCTGTAATTTGGTTTTGCTACGACTTGTATTAATCCTAAATGAATAAAATTATATTCATCTTTTATATGTTGATCTAAAATTGATTGTTCTAAAATATTTATAATTTTATTATTTTTTGTTCCTAGATATCTATATTCTACTATATGAATTTCATGTAGATTTGTTGACCATAATTTATGTTGTTTATAAACTTCGCATTTCCTTACTATGGGTATTGACCAGTTATGTAAAGAGTTTTCTATTTCAGCGATTTGTAGTTCTTTATCTTTATTATTTATAGAGGATGAATAAGACGAAGCCTCTTGCTGCGGTGTTTTAACTACTATTTGTTTATCTTTGTTTCTTAATCTTAAATCACTTAGAATTCTAAGAATATTTGGCATTCTTACTCTTTCTCGAGTCTCCATGCTACGAGACCACCTCTTTGCCTTAATGGCCTATATGGCTGACCAACGGTCTCACTACCCCTCCTGGGTTTTACTGCCGGGACCACCAGACCTAAGGGCTGACCAACGTATAAGCACCTCTCAGTGCTACACGGATTCTTTCGAAGAGTTAAGAGTCTCAAAGACCCTTTAAACTCAAGGATTTAGGGTTAAGATACAAATCTAAACTCATAATAGCTTAAACTAAGCAACAAAGTGACTTATATTCTTCAACTTTCCTTCTAAATATCTAATATTACTATTGTACCAGGTTATGCCCCAAGCATAATTAGCCGGGTTCTCTCTCATTAACCTCTCTTTTTGAGTTATACGTCTTGCCAACCTTCTTTTAAGTTTCTTAATTTGTTTTGTTAGTTCTATTGCTGGGTTTGGACTAAAACTACGACTCATACCTGGGGTCGTAAGGGTCTAACTATAAATCCTAAACCAGGAATTGCCCCATCTATTTGAACAAACTTATTTTGGTTATTCATGTTTCATACACTTTATTCCCCCACAAGAAAACCAAATATGATTAATACTCCGGAGCACTCGACTCTAATACCAAATTATTGGATCGAGATTTAAAATAATAAGAACACAATATTTAAAATAAAGAGATTCAAAATAATAAGATTTTAAATATTTATATATTTATATATTTATATATTTATGTATTTATATATTTATGTATTTATATATTTATGTATTTATATATTTATGTATTTATATATTTATGTATTTATATATTTATGTACTTATATATTTATGTACTTATATATTTATATACTTATATATTTATATATTTATATACTTATATATTTATATACTTATATATTTATATACTTATATATTTATATACTTATATATTTTTATATTTTTATATTTTTATATATTTATATATAATTAAATATTTATTTTTTAAAATTATTTAATTTAATAAATTATTATAAATTAATCTAATTATGATTAAATTAAATTATTAAATAAAAATTTTATTTTTTAATTAGGTGAATAATTAAATTATTAAAATATATTAAGTAATTATTATATAATTTTACCGATCGGATATATCCGTTGGTAACTAATTGTTAATTTATCGACGGAAATATCCGTTGATAAATAATTGTTAATTTACAGATGAATTTACCGACGGATATATCCGTCTGTAATTAATTGTTAATTTATCGACGGATTTACCGACGGATATATCCGTCGGTAACATCAAATTCCACAAATATTTTATATCTGTCGGTAATTTCCGTCGGTAATGATTATTTTTCAACGGCTACAAATCTGTCGGTAAAAATTCGTCGGAAATATGCAATTTTCTTGTAGTGATTTGTCCATAAGTTAGGGTATCATATGCTATAGGTTTCCCATAATGTCTTTCTAAGTTTATTTATACTTTTTCTAAAATTAATTTAGGTAATTTGGCTAAAAATCTTTCTTTCCAAAATCCGGCAAATTCATCCTCTCTTAAGGTTACTTTTGATAAGAAGTTATTTTTATACCATCTATAATTTGACATTGTTGGGCAATATAAATATGTTAATTAGCTTGCTGATCTTTCTTTAAATATATTTGGATATCCTACGAAATTTTGTATTATTGAGTAGATTAATGTAGATCCTGCATCTTCTTGATTTGTTTCTACTTTTACACTATTTAAAATTGCTAATTTATCTTGTTTTGTACAAAGGTTATCCCACCAGCCTTTCAGTTGACTAGTGAATCCTTGTACTATAGCTATAGCGGCAGACTTGTCACTACAACCTTTAGCTTTATGAGCGGTAATCGTCATTGTCATTTGACAAGTTAAATCTAATATAGCTTGTTCACTCATACCGTCTAAATTCCATTCTGTTATCTCATTACCTGAAAAGGCATTTTGTACTAATTCTCCCTTTTCCTCTAACTGCACATCAGCAGTTGTAGGGCTAGGGTAATAATTTCTAAATTTTGGATATGATTTCATTTTATTTATTTCTATCGTATTTGTAGAAGTATTACCTATTTGTTCTATTTTCTTTTTTAATTCTTCTATTTGTATATATGCATCACTTCTTAGTCTTAATGATTCTAAATCTTTTTGTGGTACATTAAACAATTTATATATTGGTTTCATTAGTTCTTTAGAACTACTTGATATTTCTTTTAAAGGTTTGTTTTCTATTCTAGTTAACTGTTTTGACATTACCTCTAAAACAATATTTGAATAGTTAAGTTGAGAGTGTAATTTTTTAATATCTTTTACCTGTACCGATTTTTCTTCATTTTTTACATATTTATAAGGACTAGCTTCTATTTCTAAATCCTTTGTTGGTCTAATTATAATTCCCTGGGAAGGAGGATATTCTGATTCTATTAATTCATTATTTACAGTTTTCCAAGTATTAGTTATTTTTACCAACGAGTTTAGAGATTTATCTTGATTATAATTGAGTAACCAATCAAAGAAATATAAATTTATCTCATTTTCTTCTAAATAATCATAAAATTTTTTCTAATAACTTATGTTTGAGGTTTTGTGAAAGTTTTAAAATATCATTCCCTATTTTTTATTATAATCTGCTTCAAAATATTGTCTAATCCAATTTTTATCTATTTTAAAGATTACTTCTCTTTCCATCATATCTAATATTTGCGATGTTGTTGGAGAATACCTATGTGATTCAGGTTTCCTAGATTTCTCATATACAGGTTTTGTCACTATAGGTGTGATATTATTTAATCCTCTTAGATCTAGGTTTATGGTAGATCCATCTACTTAATGTCTTGAAGATTGTCTTTTATAAATCATTTGAGGTTCTCTTTGTTTAACAGATAATGATCTATTCATCCTTAATCTAATGTCAGTACCATCTTGAATTATTTCCCTAATTTGAGTATTATAAACTTTTGATTCTTCTATGATATCTTCTAATTTTCATTCTTCAGAAATTTTACTTATAACTTCTTCATGGCTTAATCTTTTTGGAATTTGTACTGATGACTTTCTAAGGTTAGTTTCTACTAATATGGTTTCATCTTTTGGCGAAGATCTTAAAGCTTTATAATTGTAATCTATTCTGGTTACTTTGTAATAAATTCTATAAATTATTTGTATTGGGCCAGATTCTTCATCTACTATCTCTTCAGGAATTTGTACATATAATTTTGCATTACTTGTTTTATCATTTCTAATATTCATAGAAAAGTTTGGATAACAATTAAAAAAGATAGGGTCATCATGTAAGGTACTTTCTAATATTGCAATTATTGAATCATTAAATTTTTTAATATTAGACTATTTACTCCTATTTGATAAGTGAAGCACACCTCATATTTAAGTACCAAAGATGTCCACAAAGATTTGCACTGTCTAGGACTTCTGTTGATCCCATCAGCCAACAGTTTCTGAGATATCTCTTCCCAGAGGGCCATCCTGCCCTTCACAACTTGAAATCTGTCATGTAGTTCCTCACGCATACCAATCAGCTTCTTAACTTCCTCAGCTTTCCATTTATTTCTCTTTATTGATTTTGAAGACTTGGGTTCAGAAATAGACGTTTCTTCAGACTTGGCTTCATCAATGTCCTTAGAATCAACTTTCTTCAAATTCGCCTCATGCTCCTTTTGTGACTAGTAAACATTGTCAGCATCAAATGGTTTCTCAACTGGTAATGATGTAATGAATGGTTTCCAAAATTCATCTGAATTCCGTGACTCAGATAAATCACCCTCGGCTTCGCTTGCAGTGTTGTCTTCCTCAGATAAATAACCCTCATCTCCACCAGCATTATCAATACTATCATCTGTACCAAATAATAGAACACACATAAGAATAAACATGAAAGGCACAAGCAGAAAAACAATACACCAGAATAAATACATGTTAAAAGTCATATATCTCCATCCCAGGTGTGTAAAAATGCACGAGTGAAGTCAGATAGTGTCTATAAACCATGCATGTCCGTTGGATTCTGAGGCCATTTTCAGAAGTTATGAACAACAAAAGCATCTGAATTGTACAGAAATTTACAGTCTCCTCCATTTAATAACAAATAAAGTCCAAAACATTCATATTGTCAATTGGTTGTGGATTCGATTCCATCATCTCAAGATTCACAACAAAAGGTAGCCAACTTCAGAGCAATCAAAACTTATTTGGATAACAAAATTGATCTTCAATATTGGATTGGTTTGAGAAGGAAACTTATAGAGTGAAAACCATGATTAGTGTGGTATATATAAAAAGACTCCCCTTAGCTTCACAAACAATAAATAAGTTCAAAGTAAGAAACTGAGTGTCGAATGTCAATATTATAAAGAAAGAAATTAGCCACCATGTATCGACTAGACAATGTTACCATGCTCCCCTAGCCAGCAAATAACAGTCATCTAGAGGGAGATCAAGACAAACCCTTCAACTCAGGGAGATTGAAGAGTCATGCAAACATACACTTGATGTCACATTTACTAAAACATGTGAATGCAAGCACAAAAGGCAACCAACCATATCTCCACAGTTCTATATCTATTCCTCAAATGTAAATTGATGTTACCTACTAAATTGCAGTGAGATGGACTGATTTCTTTTCTCATGTCTATCCAATGCTTTTTTTGATGTTGATATTCCAAGGCCAACATGGGTTTCACCAGACAATTTTGTGTTTATCTCATCAACAAGAACGGATGCAGGATTTTCTATGGCAATGGCAATAACTTCAGGCCGTTTACCACTATACTTCCTCACCATCTTTCTCAACACCTCAGATACAGTTCTTTCTATGTGAGCCAGAGGACTATTTACAGGGCAGCTTGAAATAGCAGCATGGGCAGATTTGAAGAGTGCATCCATCAGCTTCCCTTTGTCAAGCCATAAGCATCTTGTGGTAATCCTTATCTTCACTTTTAAGGTGTTTGGAGCCAAACTACCCAAAATTTTAGGGCGAAATATTTCCATGCTGAAGAGATAAATATTAAGATGTCACTAAACATGGCATACTTCCTTTTTAATTTAAAACTTGAAAGATCTACCTAGTGACAATGATGCCATCTAAAGCGATTCTCAATCTTTCATCAATGAAGAGTTCACTTGATGTACCAAATGCTCTATCTCCCTCACTATATTTCAACTGCATGAAAAAGGAAACCAAAAAATAAACATAAATTATTAAATAATTTCTACAAGAGAGCCAACAAAATACAGATGGCTACTAACCTGTAAGTTCTCTTTTCCAAGAGAAATGCAACCATTTGAAAGGACTTTTCTATTTATCAAATGTGAAACACCAAGCATCTCTCCATTCTTAATGACCTGGTGCATAAAGCTCATCAATTCCTTCAACATGTTATGTAACATGTCATGGTATATTAATGTGTCCAGTTAAAATACTCTTTTGGTCTCTTTCTTTGTAAATTTGTTTTAGCCATTTATCTTCTAGCCTTTCATTTTGGTTCGTTATTTTTGAATTTGGGTCAATACTATCCTCATTAATCTTTTAAAATAAGAATAAAGAAGATGTTCACTCCGACCCCCATAACTAAACATTCTGCAAAGGAAAATGAATGGAAACCCTAAACAATTCCCATCATCATGAGCCCTAGCCTGCATCAAGAATGCTTGGAGCAATTGAAAGAGAAGAGAGGGTGTAATGGCGGTGAGTGCAGGATCACCACCTCTGAGATTGACCAAGAGGGGAAACCAGGGAAGAGAAAGGCGAGTTGCAGTTCTGCTGTTGCACCGGCCACCATGGCAGCGAGTGTAGGAAGAATGAGGGAGAAGGGGATTAGTTGTTGGTGGAGCAAGAGGAAAATGCTAAGAAAGATGGGGGAAGAAAAGAGAAAGGTTAGAGAAACGAGAAAGCACCACCACTGCCCGCGGCAATCAGAAATCACCTTTTCACCACTGTCCCCGTTAATTTGGAAATTATTGGTTTAATGCAATTGAAATACCTCTTGATTTAGTCTTTAGGTATTGTTGCTACTGGCTTGGTATTGGTACTGGAGTGTGAAATATTATTATATGCACCTGTGACATTTGTTTAGATCGATTGAAGTTTGATGTGGGTCGATGAAGCTAATTGAAATTGCTATTGTTTTTAATAAAATGCAATTTTTATACTGGCAGGTTTTAACCTCCAGTGCGTTAAAATGTTTATAGGCTTAAGATCTGTAAATTTTAATATAATAGATTTATCATAATAGTGGTTAAAATGGCCACTATGTTTAACTAATTATTACCTTTTGGCTGATGGAAAGGATCACACAGGTAACGTTGCAAACAAAAATGATCAAAAAATGAAACTTTAAAAAAATAAAGGACCGAAATGATTATGTAAAATCTGCTAATTCTTGTGATTTGTAAAATCTCAATCTGGATATCTAACCAGGAATAAAAGATGCCACGAGAAAGTTTAATTATGTTTTTGGTTTTCGAAATGTGGAGTGAATACAGTTTTGTCCCATAACTTAAGATCCCTTGGAGCATAAGCGTCAATATCCTCTGCTTTCACCTTATGCATAATTAGAAATAATGAAATGCAGGGCAAGAGACATGAGACTCACAATAGCTGTTATAAATAAAAGGATAAAAGAGATTAATGGTTTTCAATATAAATTTAGAAACACAAAGGGCACATAAATAATGAATAAACAAGCCGTAATTATCCAAATAGCATGAAATCAAATTAGATTCATACAGACAAACAAATAGTTATTGGCTCACAAGTAATTGAAGTAGCGAATAAATATCGCCAGAAAGTTCTAACAAAGATGCAACTGATCTCTTCAATTGAAGATATCAGAAAATCAATAACAGGATACACGTTCTCAAACTCTCTTTCAACAATTAGTTCTCTAAATTCAACAGCAGGAAAGTCCAAACATTTAATACCAGAGTGGATGGATCAATTGGAGCCTTTCCATCCTTCCAAGCTGCATCTAAATATGTCCTTAAGGACATGCCCACAAATACCTGATATAACAGTTAAAATCTCAATATTTCTGTCATTCTAAGTAAGACAATTCCTAATTTCATTCAAGTATACTAGACAGGGAGAACATTACCAACTTTCTGCCAGTTAAATCAGCAGCTGCTTTCACACTTCCGAGCCTATGTAGATTTGACGCGAATTGGGTGGTAATGACCCTTCCATTAGAAGCTGAAATATGCCTCAACAATGCATCCGCTACAACTGATTCACTGGTTGTCCTACCAGGTGAGAGTACACTCTTGAATCACTCATCATCTGTAAAGTAATGTCCAAAGGAAAGATGGTTTCTATCTTTTGTCAACATTTAAGGAAAGAGGGAAAGGATACATATTTGATCCAACAAAAAAGGAAGAAAACTGTCTGTATGATCATATTAAATATAATCAGATGTGCATCTAACATGTCATATACGACTATTCATTTTCATCTGTACAATAGCAACATTCAACAGGGCAGAACAAAAATCAATGGAAGAAATTCTTTCTAAATTCAATAACTTGTTAATTACAAGCCTATTAAACCCTCTTGGTCTTCAAATTACCAATGTATATCCAGGTATAAGCTCAAGATAAATTATTTAAAATCAAGATCGGGTAGTAATTAGCAAATATCCAGGTGACTTACCAATGTTACTCCCTCTTTAGAGAGTTGCTCTAAAGCTTCCCGATCAAAAACATTCCCATCTAGTCGTGTCTCATCAATCTATTGAATCAACTTCATCATCAACAGGAGATTCAAGCCAAATGAAAGAAAGGGACAAAGCTCTGAGATGTAAAAGTAAAATTCTGACCTTCCAGTCCCCAGTGTGAAGAATAGTGCCATCAGAATAGCGAAGAACTAGTCCACAACAATCAGGAATAGAATGGGTCACCCTGATAGGTTCTATCTCAAATGGCCCAGCCACAAACTTCTTCCTTGTTCTAAATACTGAGTCTAGATGGAACAAAAATACCATGTTCCTTCAGACGTTTTTTTTTAAGCTGTTAAAAGGATAAGTTTTACCTTCTCTGGACCGAAGAAAATAAAAATGCAAAGCACAGATTATTTTTATCAGATGTGTAAGAATTTTTTTATGACCAAAGTGTACCAAATTTTTAGTAATAATTACAATAGCACAAAATGAAAAATTAAAGCATTGGTCAATCAACTTCATGATATCGTTAACACTAAGATCCAACTTTTATGACTTCCTATGCATTAATATTGTCAACCCACACAGATTGAACAAATTAAAAGTTCATTTATTTAAAGAAAATTTCTGGCCGGATACCTCCATTGTAAAGGAAGATGCAAAAATTGGTGTATTGGAATCCAATGCCGGGATGACCTGACAAACCAAAGTTATGTTAAGAATAGACATAAAGAAGAACAATAAACATAGTTACAAACTATGACTAATCAATTAGACACCATTGTCAGTAACAAAAAAATCAGTAACTATGAAAATCAACTTTTATTGTGGCAAGAATAACTAAGAATATCTTGACAGGGATCTTGTAGTCTAGTGTTGGAAATATGTAATTATAGTAATACTGTAGATAGGCGAGATCATATCCTTCTAATCTAAATTAGGGTAACTGTACGTTTTAGAGTAGCAAGAGGAAAAAAAAAAACAAAACAAAACAAGATAGCCTAAAAGAGTTCTCCAAATGATTATGTGAATAGGTAAGAAAAATGTCACCTCTAAAAAATGTACAGATACAAAATGTCCACGAAGAACACTAAGTCTATGACAGTTTAAAATAGTGAGAAAATATATTTTGGAGGGAATATGAGATCCTTCTTATGATCTTTTATTTATAATGATAGAAATATGATACAATGGGAAGATGGAAGATAAAAAATATAATTAAGGGAAGATGGAAGATCAAAAGAAGATGAAAGACCAAAGGGCACACACTCTAGGTACACTAGAGATGAAAGACTAAAGGACACACAATACATAGACTTAATTATTTTAATACTCCTTGTCAAGCCGAAGCATCCAAATTGAATATATCAAGCTTGGAACAAATGAAATCAATCTGAGGTCCCCTTAAGGACTTAGTCAACATATCTGCAAGTTGGTTATTTGACCCAATAAACTCAATACAAATTTCCTTTGACAATATTTTTTCTCAAATAAAATGGTAGTCAATTTCTCTATGTTTAATCCTCTCATGAAATACTGGATTTGACGCAGTGTGGAGAGCAGCTTGATTATCACATTACATCTTTATAGTCTAGATTTCACGAAAATTAAGTTCTCAAAGAGAATTGTTTTACCCATATAAGTTCATAAGTAAGAGACGTCATTGTCCTATATTCAGCTTTAGCAGTTGATCGGGTCACTACATTTTGCTTCTTACTTTTCCAAGAAACAATATTTCCTCCAAGGAAAACACAATATCCCGTAGTAGAACGTTTGTTAACAGGGAGTCTGCCCAATCAGCATCACAATACCCAAAAACTTGGACACTTCCTTTATCTTTATATAATATACCTTGTCCTCGAGCCTTTTTGAGGTATCTTAAAATGCGAATGATGGCATCTCAATGGCCAATACATGGAGCTTGCATGAAATGACCAACGACTCCAACTGCAAAAGATAGATCAGGCCTCGTGGTAGTAAGATAAATTAGCTTTCCAACTAGCCGCCTATATCTTTCTGGACCAGGGAATGATTCACCTTTTTCTGTCTTTAATTTTTTATTTTGGTCCATAGGACTATCTACTGACCTACAATTAAGCATACATGTCTCTTGTAGGATATTAAGAGCGTACTTTCTTTGAGAGATTACAACCTCATCTTTTGACTGAGCTACCTCAATGCCCGAAAAATATTTGAGACTTCCAAGATCTTTGGTTTGAAAATGTTTGCATAGGTACTCATTCAGTTGAGATATTCCAACAACATCATTTCCTATAATGACTATCATTAACATTGACTATTAGATAAATGCATTTCCCAAGAGTGGTATTATAAAAATTTGAATGATCTACTTCACTGCGTTTTAGCCCAGACTTTTGAACAACTATGCTTAATTTATCAAACCAAGCGTGTTGTGATTGCTTGAGACCATAGAGAGAGCGGTGCAACTTACAGACCTTACCAAACTCCTCCTGAGCAACAAGTCCAGGAGGTTGCTCCACGTACACTTCTTCTTCATGATCGCCATGTAAAAAAGGCATTTTTGATATCCAATGGATGAAGTGGCCAATGAAAAATTGTTGTCATGGAAAAGAAGTGGTGAATCATAGTCATCTTGGCCACTAGAGAGAAAGTATCATTGTAATCGAGACCATAAATTTGAGTGTATCTTTTTGCAACTAATCGTTCCTTCAAATGATCGACTTCACCACTAGGACCGACTTCAATGGTATAGACCCACTGACATCCAATGGTATAGACCCACTACATTTTTGCAATCATGGCTTGTCGCCATCCAGAATGATCAAGTGCTTCATTCACATTTTTGGAACAGTAATAAAAGACATTGAGGATAGAAAAGAACAATAGGAAGGCGACAATCTGTGATAACTAAGAAAATTCTAAATAGGATATGGGTTTTGGGTGGAACGAGTACCTTTTCTGAGAGCAATGGATCCACCTGAATCATCTTCACTATGAGTCATGGTATTGAGTGGTGATGGAGATGGATACAAAGTAAAGGATTCACCTTGCTCCTTGATAATTGGATTGGTGGTTTGGGTCCTATGTTGGTGGATATCAATAGGTGGCGATGGTGGTTCATGAGGATTTTGATCAAGATTGGGATTGGAATTGGACATACTGCACTCAACTAATGGTATATGAAGAAGAACCTACTGAATGAAATGAACATGTTGTCCAAATGAAGAAAAGTAAGGAGTCTGTTCAAAGAATGTAACATTATCATACATGTAGTATTTCTTTGTTTTGGGATAGTAACAATGATACCCTTTTTGAAGTTGAGAATAGCCTAAGAAGACACATTTGATAGCACGAGCAGATAGTTTGTCTAACCTTGGAGACATGTCATGAACAAAGCATACACATCCAAATACACAAGGAGAAATGTGAAAGAAATGATCATTTGGAAAAATAATGGAGAAGGGAACCTTATTATTGAGAGAGGAGGATAACATCTTATTAATAAGAAAACAAGCAGTTAGGATGACATCTCCCCAATAATGGACGGGAATGTTAGCACCAAGCAAAAAGTTACGAGCACTCTCAACTAAGTGTCTATTTTTCCTTTCTACTGTACCATTTTGCTATGATGTGTGAGGATAAGTGGACTGATGTAATATACCATGTGAACTTAAGATTGCAGAAAAATCAAAATGGATAATAGAAAAACTAAAATTACACCTTGATTCAGACCTTTTAGGAAAGGTAGATCTAACATATTTTCCTATTTGACACGATTCACATTCAAAAGTCTGGAAACTACTAAGCTCAGGAACCAATTTTTTAAATTTTGACAAGTGGGGATGGCCTAACTGATCATGTAACAGTTTAAGACTTGGAGTTGCAACACAGGACACATGTGGACTCAGTCCAAAATGGTATGAACCTCTAGCTTCATATCTTTCTTTAATTCGTCCCCCCGAACCACACTCCTATATAACAAAGGACTTGTTATCAAAGGTTATTGAACAATTAAACATTTTGGTTAAATGACTTAATGAAATTAGATTGAAAGGATAATTAGGAACAAAAAGGACAAATTTGAGATTTAGGGAAGGAGAAAGGGAAACTTGACCAACTCCCTTTGAGAAAATTTTAGAGTCATTTGTCAAGGTTATAAAATGTTTTTTTTTTCAAAGAAAGTGGTGAGAACAAGGAGGTATTACTAGAGATGTGGTTAGAGAGAAGCACCTGAGTCAATTATCCATAAATTTTGACCTTCCATGGATTGAGAAATACAAGTTGTTGATGTATTGGGAGTTGTAGATGTTTGTTCAAAGCTATTAGATTTTAACCTTAGATACTCTTGATATTATGCATCGGAAAATTTGGATTCATATGTTTCAGTCTTATCGACATGGGTTGTCTTGTTAGGAAAATTGTGTAAGGATAAACAATTTTCTTTAGTATAACCCATCCTTTTATAATATATGCACTGAGGATGTCTCGACCATCACGACCTCCTCTACCACATTGTCGTCGCCGTCAAAAGAGGCGGTCGGAGCGACACGATGGTTTTGTTTGACTCGCATTTTTTAAAATATGATTCAACGCCTTTAGTTTGTCCGATAATCGGGTTGGGCCTAAAGGCGAGGTTTTCGAAAAGGTTCGAGGAGTCGTCACCAATATTTTTACCAAAAACATTGGAAAAAGAAAAGAAGACGATGGTTTTTAAGAAAAATCAACTTTGATCGTTACAACCAGAGTTAGGTAAGGGAGTTAGTTACGTGTGGGGAAGGTATTAGCTTCCCCACGATGCCCCTTTTAGGTTCCCTATGATGGACTATTTTTATAAAGAAATAAGAACATTAAAACTACGCTTTTACCCTTATTTATTCATTGCAAAAATTAAATTATTGACTACATGGCCCTTAATAACTAATGCACAGAGATAGTAACTAATAAAAGCGATAAAATAGAATAAGGGATATGAAAGAACCTTCAAATCAAGCTTTTTATAAAATATTCTTGAAAAGGGCGCTTTTTGGTAAACCCCACGCTCTACAATGTAGCTCACTCTTCTCTCGAAGCACTTTAGAACGCTTTCTAAGAAGTCTAAGACTCTGGAAATGCTTCATAGGGGTTCTAGAAGAGTATTTTGAGGAGTATACAGTTGGAAAAGTTGTAGAAGGTTCTGAAAACAAGGAGAAGGTCCCCCCCCCTTTTATAGAAATTTGCACCTGTCAGATCGGGACCGCCGTCTCGCCTGACAAGGTCAGGACCGCCGTCTCGACTTTCTGGATCGTCATCTCGCCAAACGAGACGGCGGTCTCACCTTTGGTAAGTAGCAAGACGGCGGTCTC